CAGTATCCCGGCAGAAATCGCTTGAGAGTCTGGGAAAATCCAGGCATATGGCATCCCATGTCAGAAGTCTAGATTTTGGTGAATTTCCTTAAAAATAGCACAAAAACTCAAATTTTGGGCAAAACTAAAACAAAACAAACCTCAAACAACTTTGGCAGCAACAACTTTTGTGTCCGGATTTTCACTTTTTGGAGTGCTTTTTCCCCCTAAAAACATTTTTAGGGGTACTCTCATTTTGACTCAATAAAATCACAATTTTATAGTTCAAATTGGCAAAAATAAATACAGTAAATGAACAAAAGTACAAAGATTCACAAAATGTTTAGGGGTATAAGTACCCCTGCGGGCCCCCCAGAAAAAAGCACTGACTTTTTGAAATATGACAACCCTAAAATAAACCCTTACTAAAGACACATGAGTTTCTTTTTAGACCATTGATTCCCAAAGTGAGTGGTACTGCCCTGGGTGCAGTAGGATTACCTACTACCACCCCCTGCTAAGAGACAAGGCGGTGGCAGGGACAGTGGAGGGACGTTGGGGCAGTTGGGAGTCGTTGGGGGTGCAAATGATTATCAGACCTTGAAATCCTGGTATCACTGGTTGAAGTTTACCAGTTTTGTTGACTTAAACTAAATAGTTTTATTTTGATTTTGAATAAACATGCAATTCTGCTACTCTGAATAATTCTTTTTATAGAGTAGAGGGTACTGTGTGTGGGTTTATGGAACCAAGGGGGGGGTGCCCCAAAAGTTTGGAACCACTGTTCTAGGCTGCTTTTCCTGCCCGGCCTTTTGTTTTCTTGATAAATCAGGACCTGTCAAAGAAATGGTTTTAAATTTCATAGTGATAATGAAATCCTTTTTGTAAACCCCTTCACCACAGACCAGATGAAAGCTGCATCAATTCATAATGGAAAATCTGGGTCCTCACCTTTCTCTCTGCAGCCCACTCAGTGACTTATACACAACCCAATATGCTTGACGGGGGGGGGGCAGGTAAGCTCCTCTCCTCATAATCACAGATCACAGTGCACACACACCATTAGAATAGCAATGCCCTTCAACTTTGAGGTGGCCCAGCTCCCTCAAATATTTTATTATCAGGGAGGTGGACCCCTTAGCCCCTAGGAGTTGGCTCTATGATGCTTGATAATATTCTCTCAACAGACGTTATTTCTCTCAGCCAGTTAGTTCCCATTACACTCCTTCCAGCACCTTTCCTATTTCCATTTTTTATTTTGATTATGGCTATTTTGTCTGAGAGTGGTGTTGTTCCATTTCCTCAAGTCTCTCTTCATTTGTCGCCACAGGGGCTTGTAATTGCAGAGGTATCATTTGCTGAGGTTTCTGGTTATTTGAACCCCTAGGTACCTGAATTTTTTTAATATAACTTTTTATTAGAAATTTAAACAAAACATATTATCCAAAAACAAGTCATTCTTAGTTTTTTAACCATTTCCCTCCCTCCCCCCACCCTCCCATACAAGACTCACCCCCCCACCCCACCCGACCTCCCTCAGTTCCAATCTTTGGTTTCTCTGTGAATGCTATTCTCTGCATGTTACAAAGTTGTATAGATCCTTAAATTATCTAACTGATTATTATCAATAAAGAGTTTGTAAATGTTTATTCAAAACCTGCCAAGGAGTCCAATTCACTTTGTTGCGTCTTCAAATACTTTGTAAAGGGTTCCCATTCATCTTTGAAGTCACAGTTATCCTTGTCCTGTAGCTTATATGTCAATTTTGCCAGTTCTGCATAGTCCATCAATTTTTCTTGCCATGATTCTTTAGTTGGGGTTTCTTCAGTCTTCCATCCTTGTGCTATTAGAAATCTCGCAGCCGTTGTCACATACATGAAGATGTTTTTCAACTTTTTTGGCAGGTCTTTCCCTACAATCCCTAAGAAAAATGCTTCAGGTTTTTAAACAAATGTTAAGTGGAACATTTTCTTCAATTCATTGTATATCATTTCCCAAATTTTTTTAATTACCTTACAATCCCACCACATATGATAAAATGTCCCCTCCTTTTCCTTACACTTCCAACATATATTTGAACTAGTTTTGTACATTTTCCCTAACTGCACTGGTGTTGTGTACCATCTGTACATCATCTTCATGTAATTCTTCTTCAGTAGGGAACAATCTGTAAATTTTAAATCAGTTTTCCATAACTTTTCCCAATCTTCCATCATAATATTATGGTTTACATCTTGTGCCCATTTCATCATGACTGATTTTACCTCTTCATCTTTCGTCTCCCATTCTAATAGTATGCTGTATGCCGCCTTCAATAATTTCACTTTCCCTTCAATCACTTCCGTTTGGAACCTAGATCTTGTATAGCTAAATCCTTTTTTACTGTCTTCTTTATACATTTTGTATACAGTGGTACCTCGAGTTACATACACTTCAGGTTACAGACTCCGCTAACCCAGAAATAGTACCTTGGGTTAAGAACTTTGCTTCAGGATGAGAACAGAAATCGTGCTCTGGCGGCACGGCAGCAGCAGGAGGCCCATTAGCTAAAGTGGTGCTTCAGGTTAAGAACAGTTTCAGGTTAAGAATGGACCTCTGGAACGAATTAAGTAAATGATCTTTGATCTCATCATAATCTCTTAATTTCCATTTTCCATCATGATCCTTTAATAGATCAACATATGTGAGCCATTTTCCTTTCTTTCCGAGTGGTTTGAGCAGTAATGCTTCATATGGTGAAAGCCACCAAGGGGTCTTTTGTTCCAATAAATCTTTATATCTCTCCCATACTCTCATTAATGATTTCCTAATTATATGGTTATAAAAACTTCTGTGGACCTTTCAGTTCCCATACCATAGATATGCCAGCCAAATCTATTGTCGTGTCCTTCTAATTCTAATACCTCTTGTTTATCCAACCTCATCTAGTCCCTGACCCATACCAGACAAGCAGATTCGTAATACAATTTAAGGTCTGGGAGGGCAAACCCACCTCTATCTTTTATATCTGTAAGTATTTTATGTTTTATCTTTGGCCTTTTGCTCTGCCCCCCCCCCCGATAAAATTTGAGATCTCTTTCTGTCATTTTTTAAAATATTCATCTTTCAGGATGACTGGTATTGATTGAAAAAGAAATAGCATTTTTGGCAACACATTCATGTTAATCGCTGATATTTTGCCTAGCAGTGAGAGATTCATTCTGCTCCGAATTTCTAGATTTCTTTTTACCTCAAGCCAAATTTTTTCATAGTTATTTTTAAATAGGTTTATATTTCTTGATGTTAACCAAATCCCTAAATACTTAACATTTTTATGGACTTCAATCTCAATGTTTTGTTCTAACTCCACCAAGGTATCTGAATTTAGTGAAGCAGAGTTTTATCTTTGTGATGTTGGTGAATTCCTTTTGAGTATGCAAGACGTGTATGTGTGTTGTTATGTATTGAAGTTCTCACCCTGGCCACCAGGAGTATCGTGCATATAGTTTTCACTCAGGTCCACGTCAGTTATTTTAGGCGGGAAATCCTGGGTTGTTGTTGCTACAATGTTGACAGCTGGCTGCCTATAAAAGCAGGCCGGCTGAGCTGTTTGCTGTTCAGTTCTGTTCTGGCCTCTGAATAAACAAGAGCTGTTTGAAGAATCGCTGTGTCGTCTGATATGTTCACCCACAACTTAACATGTGTGTGTTTTGAAGCACATAGCCTCAGATTTTGCAAAGTTTACTTGTAGGCCTGACAACATTGTGAATATGTTGAGTTCTTTAGTTAGGGTGGTTGCTGTGTTTATGGGGTCTGGTGTTTGTTATTTTAATAAATTTTATTTTTTGCATTTTCTATTTTACCTAAATGAGTTAAAAACATAAATATATAATTCCCATTGACTTCCCTCCCCACCCTTGTGGATCTTAATATAATGTTTTCCCCCTCTGCATCTCTTTCATAACTCTATTCTTATAAATCCTTTTCAATCCTGTTCAAATTTTTACTACAGGTTTTCTGTCAATTCTACCAATGTACAGTATGTATCTGTTTACTATAGTTTTTCCAATAAATTATAAACTTTCCCCAATCTTTATTAAAGACCTCCTCTTCTTGTTTTCAGTTTCTTCCTATGCCATCTCTGCATAGTTCATCAGTTTTGCCTGCTGTTCTTCTTTGGTCAGAGTTGTACCATCTTTCCATTTCTGGGCTAAGAGAGTCCGTGAAGCAGTGGTCACATGCATAAATAGTTTTGTCTGGTCCTTCGGGATCTCTGGTCCCATACCTAAAAGAAAAGCTTCTGGTTTCTTAGGAAAAGTTATTTTCAGCATCCCCCCCCCCATTCATTATGGGGTCTGGTGTTGTGAACCTCAGGTCATCTGCGATGAGCCCTAGTTTATAGGTTTTGATTGATTGATTGATTGATTGATTGAATGTTAGTGACTACCATTTTCCCCACCAGGCCCTGCCATGCCTTACTGTCAACCTATCTGCTGATGGGGGGTCTAATGCACAGCTGCCCCCTCTCTGGGTCACCTTGGCTCTTCTTGGGGTGTGTAGGGTTGCCATCTGTCCTGTACAATACAGGCTTGTCCCATACAGTCATACCTCATGTTACGTTTGCTTCATGATACGTTTTTTCAGGCTGCGTCCCGCGGCGACCCAGAAGTACCAGAAAGGGTTACTTCCGGGTTTCACTGCTCACACATGCGCAGAAGCATCAAATCACGCCGTGCACCTGCGCAGATATGGCGCTCAGGTTGTGGGCTTTTCATGTTGCAAATGGGCCTCTGGAACGGATCCTGTTCGCTACCAGAGGTTACCACTGTATTTAAATGTAGAATGCTGCATCCTGTATTAATACAGTTTTGTCTTGTATTTCAGGCCTTTCTCTCCCCCCCCCCCGCCAAATTAGGGGTCCTCTCCAAATGCATGTGTTTGAAAAGGTGTGTGAAAGGTCATGCATTTAAGCTCTGGGTAGCCAAGGGCAGACAGATTTACAAATTCATGCGTATGTGTGTGTGCGCGTGCGCGAGTGACACAATTCAGAGAGGACCTCCTTTTAGGCTGCAATAAATCGTCATGGGTCGCTTTGAAGTCACTTCAGCACCAAAAACCGTCTCCCAACCGCCCCGCTTTTTGCAGGAGCGAAGGTGGCAAACCTCGGTGCGGGGCTCCAAGACCCAAACCCACTCGCATCCCTCCGAGGAGGGGAATTAGGGACCCGGCCAGTAGCCCAACAAGTACAGTACACTCCTCTTCCATTGCCTAACGGGATCCCTGTGGGAAACCCGCAAGCAGGACTTTGAGCACAGCTTCCAGCAACTGGCATTCAGAAGCATTGCTTGCCTCCGTCGTGACCAGTAGCCGCCGACAACTTATTTATCCCCCGTTGAATTACCCCAACCCTCTTCTAAAGCCATCCACGTTGGTGGCCATCACTGCCTCCTGCGGGAGTTTAGCTGCTTCTTTTTCTCCCCACATTCAGTTTTCTTGAGTGTCCCAGAGATCCAGTGTGAGGGGAGAGGGAAGAAACACTTCCTCTGTCGATTCTCCTCTGTCACTCTTCTCTGAACCTTTCAATTATATACACGTGTGTATGTTTGTGCTTGTATAACGTGGCAGGGGGGGACACTTTGGGTACCCCGCGAGGGCGGCCAGTCGCCTCAGGCGACGAGGAAGACCAGATGCCCAACCGCTCTTCTCCCCTCAGGGGCTTCCCGCCCTTTCTGAGCCATTGCTGCGTGCGAGACGTGACCACCGGTGCCCCGGTTCCCCCACCCACTCCGAGATTGACGCGACCCTCTGAGCCAATCCTCGGCGCGGGTGACGCTGCCCGGCCAATCCCGAAGCCGGTGGTAGGCGGGGCTCCGGTCGACACGCTCCGGTCGCCACAGCGCTAGCTCGTCCTCCCTCCGCCTCTTTCTCTTGCTGCCGGTGAACGAGGAAGAGGTTGCAGTTTGTTTGCTCCTGCTGCGAAAATGTCTCTCTCCAACAAGCTCACCCTGGACAAAGTGGACGTGAAGGGCAAGCGCGTGGTCATGCGGTGAGCTGCTTTCGCTGTTTCTTTTTCGTCGTAGGCCTATACCGCAGGGCTGGGTTCAAAACTGGGTAGCCTGGGGAGGGCTGGTGGGAGCGGAAGGAAAAGCAATGCATCTTCAAGAGGGTTTGGCGGGGGGGGGAGGTTGGCTTACCTGTTCGCATTTATATATGTGCAATGTGTATTGAGCTTTTCAGTTAAGTGGTGGCAAAGCAAGTGATGTAAGAATTAGAACGTAAATGAACATAAACCGTTATGGGTTGAGTTTATTTTTATGGTAACGTTCACTGAGGCTTTCAATTAAGTACTGGCGAAGCAGATAATGTTAGGGGGAGAAACAAACAGTTGTATTTATATCTCACCTTCGCCAGGCCCCTCTGAAGAGATCTAGGTAGTTTTCGCTAATCTCATTTTATCCCCCCAACAACCCTGCGAGGTAGGCCGAGAGGCAGTGACTGGCTCAAGGTCACCCAGTGATCTTTATGGCTGAGCAGGGAGTTCAACTCTGGCCTGCCAGAAGGCCTACCTAGTGCAACACTTCAAACACTACAACACAGTGACTTGCATCTGCTGCTGAACTTTTCAGCCATCACAGAATATTTACATGGCATATCAGTTCCCTCCTTTTGCAATGGCATATATCTACTTTGGGGTCAAAATGGCCTTAAGGCCCATAGTTACCCACATGGGAAGGAGCAGTATTGTGGAATGATTACAATAAACCCATTACAGTATAGAAAAGTAGTAAAGCGCTGTCTTTTAGGTGCTAACCATAAATTCACAGGATCAGGAAACCATAAAAACTCTAGTTTCTGGTTTAATTAAGATGTTACACATCTTATGCTGTGTATTCTGAACATGGTTACTTATAATTGAACACAGTGGGGACAAAATTATGCTGTTTGATTCCAAATCTGGGAGAACTGGACTGTGATTATGTTTTGTAGGACGTCTAAAAGTAAAGTATTAACTTATACTAACAGTGCTTAATAATCACTGTACAAATCACTATACACGTTGCTAATACAGGATACACATAGTAAACCTTTTTCCGCTTGCAGGTGCATATTTTATTCATAGCTTGTTGGCTTCTGTGGCTTGTGTTACTAATTTCAATCCCGCCTTCAGCAATAAGACTCTGAGAATTGCAGTGATTCCTATCAGGCACAGGAAAGGAGTTGTAGGTGGTTCCCTTATCCAGAAGTAATACTGAGCTCCCTATAGTCAATTAAACCAAGGACAACTTCAAAGCAAGATCTTAATTTTCATTTCAGCATCCCTTTGGGTGTTGCAAACTGCATTAGAACTATATTTTCATGCATAGTATATTATAATTTCAGAAATGTGCTTTAATTAAGCTATTTATTTCAACTAATATTAAAGAGGGCTTTTCATTTAGTCCAGCATTTGATTGACAGGGAAGGTTGTAAATGCCAAACTATTCCAAGCCTGGCAAGAGATCATAGGTGGGGGCTGGAGTCTAAAATCCAAGCTAAGGAATTGTATGCCTACGGAGCGTAATCAAAATTAGAAGAGGGAAAATCAGTTGCATCTAAACTTTGTAGTACTACCTTATTCAAAGCAGAAGTCAGTCAAACCAGAATTTTGAGCTGGGGGAAGTACTTTAATTTCAGGTATTGAGTTGTAAGCCTCAGAAAAAGACTTTAAACTGCCATGAAAAATTTGTTATGAAATAGTTTGCTGCTCATACCACATGTGTGTGAGTTTTTTATTGTCTCCAAACCTTGCATATGTGTATTATAAAAGTCTCCAGTATTTTTTTTTCAAGGTCATTGAGGTTAAGCAAAGGCATTTCATTTTGTTATTCATATTTCAGTTTCTTCCTTGAAGATATTGACAGTTTCTCTCTTAAACCTTTGTGAAACTTTCAGTGGAACACTTTCACTTTTCTACATTTTTTATACATCTATCCCAAAGACTTTCATTACCAAGTGACCTTAATGTCATGGGCATTCTTTCATTCATACCCTGTTTTTCCAAGCATCTTCCATTGTGGTAATAGTTGCCAGCTTGCAGTCTGGTCACTGACTCCACCTTTATTCACTGTGAAGACACTTGTGCTGCACACAAACTAAGGAAATTGGTGAGCAGGGCCTCCCACTTGATACCCTGTGTAGAGATGTTCAATGGCCTGTTTGTGTTTATGCAGGCCAATGGATACAACTACATAGGTGCAAAGTTCAGGTAGAGAAACTCTGGCTTTTATCATCCTTTTAGTTAGCTGCTTACCCCTGTTCTGCTTGTGCCTCCTCATTAACTGAGGTACCAGATCTTCAAAGATAAAAGAATTTCATTCTGGCTGCAAGGTGATAACCCTAGTTTGTGCATGAAATTTATTGTCTCTATTGGTTCAGTGTTGTGCTCTAAATTGCCGTCTGATTTATAGCTGGATGACTAGAGCATCAAAAGCATGGAGCTATTTATTTATTATTTTATTTTTTCAATTTGTATGCCACCCTTTATCCAAAGATCTCAGGGCAGTCCACAGCATATAAATACAAAATAAAAACACAAAATACATAATAAAAGCTTACCCTCTATATGCTGTGGCCATCAGTCCAATTCTCCCACCTGTCCTCCACATTTACCATCTAACTTAATGATAGCAGAATGTTATATACCAAAGCATGTTATTTATGGAGAAATCTAGAAAATAAATGATTTGCTCCTGCGTTTCTTTCATGCCTTTGAAACTTGGGGAATGTTATTCTAAAAATCTTACATTGCTTAAAACAAAATCTAGTCCTGTTAATCGTACTGTAATGTGTTCTGTTCTTCCAGTTGCTGTATTATGCAACATGACTTCCTGTCTCCTTCAGCTTTGGGGCACAGCATGCTTTGTAGAAATGGCTTCTGAGGCTCTTCCTGCTCTTCTGTCTGTTGGGCAGGCTACATCATGCGGGCCTTTGCTGAGTAATCTCCCTGCGTAGGCATGTGAGATGAGTGTTTCTGGAAGCACAGTTTGCTATTGAATCTACGTTTTGTACAGTGTGCTGGCTGAATCAAACAGGCCTCTTATAAAATCCAAACCTTGTACATGGTTGCTAAATGCTTGAGACAAATGCTTGCTAAATGTTATGTGCTTGTTTTTGACATCCCAGGTGATGGAAGCCCTAAAGTTTTGTTAGAATTATCTTTTTTAATAAAAGTTTTATTTTATAACATTTTGCTAGAATTGCCAAGCATCTGTGATCAGGGAGATTGTATACAGCACTTAAAATAGTAGTTTACACAAAAGTGGGGCGGTAGTTAACTAAATAAATAATTAAATGGTAATTGCAACATCCCAGAGTATTTAGGTTGACCCAAGGCAATCATACAAGCTTGATAAGCGACTTGATCCTAGATTTTCTGTATAAAAGCCCATTGCTTTAGTCACAGCCAAGCCTCTGGTGGTGGTCTTTGATCTGCAAGTACTTCAGATGCAGTATATGCTGCATCCTTCCTGGATTATTATTATTTTACAACAGTATAGCTAAAGCAGTTTGTGAAGGAAAATAAGGGATTATAACAGATATTGAATATGATTGCACTCTGTGTTTACCTTGCCTGTAAAACTCATATTGTGTCTAGGTGGCTTTTGTGCCTCTCAACCCCCTACCCTTCTTGGTTATGGAATGGGTATTAGAACATTTTTCTCCTACTCTCTGCCTTTCTCTTTGAATTCAACCTTTACTTTCTAGTCAAGGGCATCTCTGTTAATACTTGATAACTTAGATATTCCTAACTGGTCACTTTTATTTTAGGCCAGGGGTGGCCAACCTGTGACATACCCACAGGTATTGCTGGACTTCAGCTTTCATCATCATTGACCATGCTGACTAGAGTTGATGGAACTTGGGGCCCAACAACATTCTGGTGTTCTAATTTGCACAGTAATGAATTTCTAAACTTTTGCCTGCCTAGGGGTTGAACAGTGGCAGAAGCCTCCAGCAGGAAATATAGCTGGCTTATATAGCCTTGTTCATGAGTGTTGAAGCTGTCTCAGCATGATTTACTCATTTGCAAAATTTCCTTTCTTTCCAATGAGCTCTTTATTGTGTACATGGTTCTCCCCCTCATTTTATCCCCACAACAATCCCACAATGTGAATTAGACTGAGAGTGAGGGACTGGCCCAAGCTCACATAGTGAATTTCATGGCGAAGTGGAGACTTGAGCCCTGGTCTCCTAGGTCCTAGTCAGACACACTGATGATTATGCCATGCTGGCACAAATGGATTAATTCACTCAAGCAGCCTCTGAAACAGGACAGCTCTTGCAAAACCCTTTTGCAAGCCTTCTCCTTTTTTGCAACAGGTTTACCCAAAGTGATTCAGCACAGTTAGGCTTTTCCCTTCACATGGTCTCTTTGTTCTACCACTGGCCCCTGGTTTTCAAATTTATATCCCTGGTATAGAGAAGAGAAGTTGCATGGATCTGAGAGCCTTTGAGTGCTGTACCAACCAACACAGCAGGGGAAGGGAGTAGTGCAGCAATACTGTGACAGCTCTCCCTCTGCACTCACCCCACCCAAGTGCAACTTTTGCTGCAGCTCCTTTTTGAGTATCTTGCCTGTTTTGGGACATTAACAACAGTGTTCAGTAATTAATGATGTTTGTGTGAACAACTTGCATTGAAACATTTCTGTCCCCCTTTTTTTTTTAGGGTTGACTTCAATGTTCCAATGAAGGACAACAAAATAACCAACAACCAAAGGTAAGAGTCCCCTGCAAATTCCAAGTAGGGCCTATGCTTAGTCATTCCTTGCTTAGTGATTCTACTAGACTGTGACTCAGTGAAAGAAGAAGAAAAAAGTACTTTACTCATTTGAGGTTTCAGGACTGATGCCCTGGCATTTCCAGGTAAGATACTGAGGTACTGATAATGTGAAACATGTCTTGGGCTCATTCTGTACTTCCAAGCTAGATTTAGGGCCATAGCTCAGTGGTAGAGCATCAGTGTTGCAAGCAGAAGTTCCCAGGTTAATACCTCAACGGTATCTCCAAGTGGGGTTGGGAGAGACTCCCTTCCTACAATCCTAGAGGGTTGCAGCTAGTTAGTGTAGACAATAGTGACTGACTGACGGGAGGCAGTGGAAGACAGGAGTGCCTGGCGTGCTCTGGTCCATGGGGTCACGAAGAGTCGGACACGACTAAATGACTAAACAACAAGTGTAGACAATACTGATTTAGATGTACCAATTGCCTGGCTTTGTATAAGGCAGCTTTCTATTTGAATCTACTGCTAGTCAAAGTTGATAGCAAGATAGCCTCTGATTAAAGGCAACTCATCATACCAGCTTCATGTTTCCTGCTAATGCTGTGCTAGGCTTTAGGGGGCTTGAACAGGAGAGGTATGTTCGAGACCATTGGTCTCCCAGCAGCTCACACTTGCATTGTGCATTAGGAGGAGAGGCCTCTCCACACACCTTTTTACCACTGCTGGTGTGTTGTTTTGTCATCTGTTGGCTGAGAGGAAAGACAGGGCCAAACAGGGAGAAGAACTTGAGGCAGGATCTGTACTTAGGAGCTCTATGACCTATCTTCCTTGAAGCAGGTCCCCTCTTGCAGGCTGTGATTCCAGTAGCAAGAAGCCCTACTGACCTCTGTAACTGTTGGATGTGCCTCTTTTTCTCTGGATTGGTATTTTAAAACAGGATTAGAAATTATTTTATTGAGAATGAGGATAAAAAACACTTATCCACTGCAGAACATTCATTCCAGAGTAGCTAACTAGGTATTGCTGTGTATACCACAGCCTTTTCTTTTTAACACAACATATTATTTCGACTGGTATATTCAGCCTTTCTGCATTTTGAGTAGTTATTGCACCAAACTGATAGTCTGTGCACCAAGCAAGCTAATGGCTGCAAAGATTTTAAAGGTATCAAACTGATCCATCTTTAACAGGACTAGTGAAACATTTGTTACAGTCCCACACATGGTAAAGTGATAGTGACCAAGGCAGTTTGTATTGTAGGGAACAGTTAGTGTGGTATAGCAGCTGATGAGGGAGAATATTTCTACCTTGGTGAGGTAGGAATGAAGAGGTTAATGGGATCTATTACTTCCTGATTCTAATAACCCTTGATTCTGTAGCTGATGTGCATAATCTTTCCTTTAAAACCATGATCTGTTGATGTAGCTTAGACGCTGCAGGTACTGCTGTGGGAACCTTCTGTTCTTCTGTTTTCATTGCAGAATCAAGGCAGCTGTCCCAAGCATCAAGCATTGCTTGGACAATGGAGCCAAGTCTGTGGTGCTGATGAGTCACCTGGGCCGGCCTGATGGGGTTCCTATGCCCGACAAATACTCCTTGAAACCAGTAGCAGCAGAGCTCAAAGCTTTGCTAAGCAGGTATGGCACGATGACATTACAGATTGACTAAAAAGAGGTGCTTTGAATGATAATTTGTTGTGAAGCGTTCTTATAATTGGTAAACTGAGGCTATACATTTATCTGGGAATTGTCTCCAGGGATGTCATGTTCCTGAATGAGTGTGTGGGTGCAGAGGTGGAAGCTGCTTGCGCTAATCCTGCAACTGGCTCAGTCATTCTTCTGGAAAATCTCCGATTCCATGTAGAAGAGGAAGGGAAGGGAAAGGACGCTTCAGGGAACAAGGTGAGGCATCTTGTCTTGTGTTCTGCTTTCTCTACTGCATCACTTCTGGGTGCTTAAATTGTGCCACTCTCATGTAGATGTTTCCACAAAGTTACTAATAGTTCATGCTCTCAGATGGCATTAGAGTTAGAAATTGATACATGCCACCCCATTCTCCCAAGTGGTGAGAGAATCCAGGGGTTCTAGGTGATTCTCCAAGATTCAATTTTCTTGGAATGAAGGCCGCAGTGACTGTGGTGTCCTTGGGATATATGGTTTTATTTGCACCAATAAAGGTATCATTCATTTTATACAGGGGTTATGTTCAGGGGGTGACATGTATACACCAAAGCATATGTATACCAACCACCCGCTTGGAGTTGCCCCCACACAAGCAATCTGTTATCTATTATCTGTAACCCTTTTCCTTAATATGGTTAAAAAGACAATTCGTAGCAACTAGAATGAAGAGATGCTCAGCTGAGCGTTTAAGCCTGATATGTAAATAATTCACAGGAGATTGATGATATGCATATAAGCATAGAGCAGTGCATGAGTGCTGATTAACCATCTTGTGCCCAGAGAATGAAGGAAGAATGCTGGCTAAATAACTAAAATCACTGTTTAAGGCTGTAGTACCCAAAGCGGGTGGTGCTGTGGGTTAAACCACAGAGCCTAGGACTTGCCGATCAGAAGGTCGGCGGTTCGAATCCCCGTGATGGGGTGAGCTCCCGTTGCTCGGTCCCTGCTCCTGCCAACCTAGCAGTTCGAAAGCATGTGAAAGTGCAAGTAGATAAATAGGTACCGCTCCAGCGGGAAGGTAAACGGCGTTTCCGTGCGCTGCTCTGGTTCGCCAGAAGCGGCTTAGTCATGCTGGCCACATGACCCAGAAGCTGTATGCCGGCTCCCTCGGCCAATAAAGTGAGATGAGCACCACAACCCCAGAGTCTGTCACGACTGGACCTAATGGTCAGGGGCCCATTTACCTTTACCTTTTACCCAAAGTGGATGGTACTTGGGGTGGGGGTGCTAATAGGCAGTGGACTGCTGGAGGTGTAAATGACTATCAGACTTTTAAAAAACTAGTATCACTGGATCAAGATCATCAATTTGAATTAACTGCACTAAATAATTTTAATTGGATTTTGAATACATGTACAATTAATTGTTACCGTTTTGAATGTTACTGGGTGATTCTCTTCCTTAGTGGGTTGTGCAAACCACTATTTTGAGTACTGCCTTTTATAGGTTAGGGTGGGGAGTTACTGGAACCATAGGGTTGGCGGTCTGAAATGGTTTGGGAAACACAGGTCTAAGGGTATGTTTTTGCAGGAAATATCTTCAGCAAGAGCATGTGAGAAGCATGTTTCCCTTCTCTGCTCAGTTAATGCTGTGATTTGTTCATGGGCTGTTTGAACCCTGTTAACTGGGACTGGCAAAACCTTTGAATCCAGATGCCACACTCTGCTTGGGCAGCCGCTTGGGTATCCATACCTCTTGACATTTTAATGAAGGTCGCCATGACCATTTGGTTTCTTTTCTTAGCACCTCTGACCCTATTAAGACTTGAGTCTTGGCTCCCTTTCGATGCAGCCACAGTGATATATAGTACAGTGTCCTTTTTTAGGTTGATACAGAACACCACACTGTGCTATAAAAGCACATGCAAATTAACTTCTCAAGATGAAGAGCTTGAATTTAGAGATTCCAGCTTCAGCCTCTTGGCACAATCCTTTCATCCTCATCTCCAGTCGAAAGTAACTGTCAGGTTACCTTGCATTTATACTTTTAACACTTGCTCCCATGGTCCCATTTTTTTCTTAAGACCCTGGCCTCCCTTTTGTCCCTGTTGTCTATCTCTCTTCTATTCTTGAAATATTGGGCTAGTATTGCCCGTATCACTGAAATGTAATTATTTACTTGCAAAATTTTCTATACTGCCCGTATTAAGAAAAAAGATTGTGAACAGCATAAAATCAGTTACAGAACTGCTTATCAGGAGGGAACAATCCTCAGTGAATGTAGAATATTTGGAATTGCCCATTTGGGTGCAGTTCATCTTTTGAGAGGATGTCCATCTTAAATTACAGAAAAGCTAAGTATTTGCTCTTGTTGTGCACTTTAAGTATGGCTTGTTTCTCATTGTTTGCCTGCTTTAGTATGTTACCTTGGAGAAGCAACAGGAAAGGTGGCTGCCTCAGCAAGCCTGAGCTGAATAAACGGCAGATGCCTTAGAAATGCTGCAGCAAACACTTAAGATGCGTTGCGCCTATGTGCTGTTCTGGTGACTTAATCAGGAGCTAAAGGAGAATGGATTGCACATACTTCCTATTCTGCTAGCTGCCCTGGCTGTAGTAGAGGCAGTTAAACTAAGTACATAAAGCTGATCAGCTGAGGAGATGAAGCAGCAATTGATTGTATTAGTTTAAACCAATAATAATAATAGATTTTTTCCCCCTCATCAAGGTTAGAGGAATGCTACAGATCTGTACTACCTATATGCAACTGTTAGTTGGCAGTGTTTCCTGCTGCTTCCAAGTCTTGAAACAGGATTATTTTTAAGATCCCTACCTCCACTGCCATATGAGCAGAGGCTTTGGCAGGTTGAACTGCACAACTCAACCAAAGCTGTACTAGATGTTTGTTTGTTTGTTTGTTTGTTTGTTTGTTTGTTTGTTTGTTTGTTTGTTTCATTTATATCCCACCTTTTTCTCCAAGGAGCTCATTTAATCCCTGTAACCATGTTGTGAGGTAGGCTAGGCCTAGTAGGGATGTGAACCCAGGTATCCCAGTTCCTAGTCTAACCACTACACCACACTGCTTCTCAGTGTGTTGTTGGCCAAGAAGGCTGAAGAGAGCTTGCTTATTTATTTATTTATTTATTTATTTATTTAACTAATTGGTTGCTTAACAAGATAACTCAAAAGCATAGCACCTACATTGAGACCAGCATAAAAGAAAAAACCAAGAAAAATCTAGAAGACAATCCTATTTTTAAAAGGCAAGATTAAAACATCCCACTCTCTGAAGGAGGCCATACATAATTAAAAGCAAGAAAAGAAAAACTTTTTATGCGTGAAGCTAGCATTTCAAAAGCACGTCAAAGTGCAAGTAGATAAGTAGGTACCGCTCCGGCGGGAAGGTAAACAGTGTTTCCGTGCGCTGCTCTGGTTCTCCAGAAGCGGCTTAGTCATGCTGGCCACATGACCCGGAAGCTGTACGCCGGCTCCCTCAGCCAATAAAGCGAGATGAGCGCCGCGGCCCCAGAGTCAGTCACGACTGGACCTAACGGTCAGGGTTCCCTTTACCTTTACCAGCCACTTGAGACCCAAGTCAGGGGTCCCTTTACCTTTTATGTTATGGTGCCAGACAAGTCTCAGGGAGAGCATCCCACAAGCACAGAGCCACCACTGAAAAGGCCTATTCCCATGTTGCCACCCTCTGAACCTCCTCTGGAGGGGGCACCTAAAAAGGGCTTCAGATTATTGCAAGGTCCAAATCGGTTCATATGGAGAGAGGTGGTCCTTGAGATACTGAGTCACATAAGACTTTAAGAGCTTTGCCCCGTTTTTAATGGGAGAGTTAGCAGGCAGAGTCTATTTGCCTTTGACTAGTTCAAAATGTGATTGCGTTGTTGTTGATGATGATGTTTAAGTTGCAAATATACTGTGTGCATTCATTCCGATTCATTAATAAACTGTTTCGCTCTTTCAAGAGGCAGAAGGGGAGTCACATCCTCTCTTAATTTTTTTATAATGAACATTTATCAGAGTAGAATCTGCACCCCTTCCAGAATGGCTTTCACTAGCCTAGAAAAGAGAAGAGCTCTGATCTTTGCATTGAATGAGAACCACCTTGTGGTGGAAGCAATATGACGAGCTGTTCTGCTGTACATAGTTCAGAAACAGCACAGAAATGTGGCCCATTCTCCTAGTGAACTGTTTTGAGGTTTCATTGCAGTCAACCTGTATAAAGTTTGCTACATAAAATAAATGAAACAACCTGTACAGAAGTGCTTAATGATGATGGCATTTTAATGAAGCTTAAAACCCACCTGTCTTCCTTATTTTTTTGTACTGTTCATATGTACTGCATTCACTTTCCTTTTTTTAAATACTGCTGTCAAGATGAGAGTTTACATGTGTGCTCAGAGGCATTAAAATACATCTTATACCAGGAGATCAACTGTTGTGATTACTGGATGGAAATTTCCCTACCCTGCCCAGGAAAAGCTCTTAACAATTCTATTTAAACAGTGATTTGGTGGCTTCTAATGCCCATTGATAAGGTAACTAAAACTGGTGAGTTTTTAATTCTCTTTCTCTTCCCAGATCAAGGCTGATCAAGCAAAGGTTGATGCTTTCAGAGTGTCACTTTCTAAACTCGGAGATGTTTACATCAATGATGCTTTCGGAACTGCACACAGAGCTCACAGGTATGTAAGCCTCTGCCTTTTATTTTGTCATGGCTGGGCTTCTGTCTGTTTCAGAGACTGGCTTTTAACAAAACACACATGCTGCTTGAGTGTTATGAATCCTCAAAGTGCTTTACAAAGAAAAATGCATTAACATTATCAATAAAAGACAGTAAAAACAGGTAAATAATAAACTAAAAACAGATTGAAACACATGTAACTTCTGCAGGACTAGATGGGCTCAGCTAAACCAAAATGTTTTTAAGATGAGCTGGAAAGAGTATAGCGAAGGTACCTGCCTGATATGAGTAGGCAGGGAGTACCAGGGTATAGGTTTTGCCACACTTAAAAGGTAAATTTCTTACGACAGCAGAACCTTACAACACAGAGAATTATGTGGCACCTGTAACAGCACCCATTCCACAGAACTTTAGGTTTGGATTCTCACCATTATCACAGAATCCTTTCAATCTTTTATGAAATACACAGTGATATTTGCTTTATTAACAATGTAGTATTGTTTGCTTTATGCACTGAAAACAGCTTTATATGGGCTCAGTTTTCCTCAGACTGCTGAGTTGTATATTCTACTAAGCAGCTGCATTACATTGACACCCAGTGGGATGGAAAATTTTGACTGCCATAGGCCTTGGATACTCCTTAATTCGGTTTTGAAAACTAAGTTTGCCAAGGTATGAGAAGTGTGTTTCTGTCATGCAAATGTTTTAAATCTATATCCTTTGTCAAGTTGCAGAAATAACTTTCAGGTTTTGCCATGCAGCCTCTAAAAACCACCCTTCATTTAACAAAGCAAAACTCTGGTGATGGATCTTTTCACTTCCCTTTTCCCAGAATTTCACCCAGTAGCATAAAATGGGTATTCCATATTGAAAATGTTTTTTTAAAAAAGTTCCTTACAGAATCTGCAGGTCATGTGCCTGTTAGATCAGAAAAAAAGATCTGGACTTCTGTTATCTCATAACCTAGAAGTATCTAGATGGAAGAGCTCAACTATTTTTGTGATACAAGCCATGGTTTAATTTCTGAGGTCACACAGTGCCACCAGTATATGCAAATGCGTGGCTCATTTAAGACTATAGAACCTTTATTCTCAATAGTGATGGAGCTCACCAGGTGGAGAAGGCTTCTGTGGTGTATCTTTGTGTTTTATGTTTGCACTTTTATTTGTTAACAAATCAATTTTTTTATGTGGACTTCTGAAGTAACATACCTTTTACACAGTTGTTTATTCGTTGCTAAATATTTGCACAGTTGTGGACTTGAAGGGTTTTGTAGCATCCATACATATAGCATCAAAAACAACAGTGGAACTCATTTTTATTGGCTGATTTGTATATTTTCTCTCCAATGTAACAGTTCCATGGTAGGTGTCAATCTGCCTCACAAAGCTGCTGGTTTCCTGATGAAGAAAGAACTGGAGTATTTTGCAAGAGCTCTAGAGAACCCAGAGCGACCCTTCCTAGCAATCCTGGGAGGGTAAGGACAAAATATATTTGCCTATATTGCTGTTTGCTTCTACCTTTATGTGAACTTGTAACTAATTGGTTTACTGTGCAGATCGTTTTACCTTCCATATTTTCAACACTATGTCTATTTCAGTAATTCTTTTAAAAAATAATATTTTATAATTTTATTAAATGTGTAGCAAACAAGCCTGAAGTACCCCCAAAAATCCAACAAAGGGTGGTGGTGGTAAGAAAAAACATTTGAGCATGATTAGGTATAAGATAAGGAGAAAATATTAAAAGAAATTTGTGCAAAAAAGGCAATATGGCAGTATTCCAAGATAATACACAGCAGATCAGAAACTCATATATTGTAATCAAAAACTACACGACATGAAATCACATTTGGATAAGATTTGCCTGAATGTGTTGTTAAACTACAAAAATGGGCCCACGTCTCCTCCGAGAACCTGAAGTTGGTGGGTCAGTTTCTCTGATGTGGCTATAAATAAGGCATTTTCAAACCAGTTCATAATAGAGTACATAAAAGTGTAGAGTACAGTCAGTGCATTTTGTGTCACGGGCCAAATCAGCATGTCTGTGTGTCTGCCTGTGGCTGACCTTTCCACCAAAGTTTAAAGTACAAACATAGTCCTTATTCAGCAGTGCTGTGTGTAAATTGACACTGCCTGTCGTTATGCAACTATGAGGAACTGTAGCTGGATACGTGTCAGCTCCTACAGCTTCCAAGAGGCATAGTTTGATGATGTAGATGTAGATGTACAGTCTCAGAACATGCGGTCAGATGCCAGAATTCTATATGTTAAGCCTAAAATGCTGTTTTTGTCTGGAATATCCCCCCCCCCAGCTTTGTTTGGAAAAATGAAATTGGGGTTTTAAAAAGCATTTTTCAGGGTTTTGTTTTTTTAAGAATGCAGATTGTCACAAATGTAGTTATACAAAATCATAATCCTCATGCAAATCTCAAGGACTGCATTGCAATTAAGATTTCATTCTTATTGTGCACTGCTTTGAATCTTCCTGATTGCCCCAATTACAGCTTTCAAATGTGTATGATAAAGTACAAAGACCTGAGCTGCTTTGATGGCAAAATCTTTCTGTTCCTTTCTTCCCTGCAAAAACAAAGCAAGCTTTTGACGCTGAGCAAAGGCCCCCCTGTGGGGGCAAGCATGCAACCATGAATAATAGGGAACACAGTAGCCTTGCAGCTCTTGACTTGACCAATCTCTGTTCATTTGCTGTGCTGCTGCTACCAGAAGTCCATTAAATTTCTCAATGACATTTCCAAAGGCCAGCCTTCCCTGTGCTGACTGGGAATGATGGGACTTGTAGTCCAAAACGCAGAGGTTGGGAGCAAGCCTGCTTCCCCCAGTTTTAAACATGTTGTGCCAACTCAATTCATAATGTTAAAAACAGTAGGTGTGCTGTTTTAATCTCTTACCTAAAACTGCAGTGTGTACTGTTGTACCTTGGCTCCTGAACAGAGTACAGTACAGTACAGTACAGTACAGTTGTACCTTGGCTCCTGAACGCCTTGGGAATCAAACGTTCTGGCTCCCGAATGATCAAAAACAGGAAGTGAGTGGGGGGTTTTTGGAAGCCGAACATTCAGTGTGGCTTCCGCTATTGTTTCCAGCATGTCTGCACAATCGGAAACCAATCAGAAGCTACGCCTTGGCTTCCGAACATTTTGGAAGTCGAATGGAGGTAGGATTGTAGACACTACATATGGTCAGCCCATTATTGTGGGTGTCAAATGAAAGCAGCTGGTGAGAAGATGGGTGATAAATTCAATAATTTATAGAGTACTTGCTTTGCATAATAAAAGTCCAGTCTATTCCCTATCATCTCCAAGTAGGGCTGAGAGAGAACGCTGTTTGAAATCCTGGAGAATTCCTGCCAGTCCTTGGAGAGTATACTTTGCTAGATTTACCAGTGAATATGACTACTCTGACATTAATGAATCCATGCTAGTCATTTCCTGTGTTCCTATTAACCAGTGCTACCAGTACAGTTGTACCTTGGTACTTGTTGAACGGCTTGGTACTCTTGCGTTTCGGCTCCTGAACGATCGAAACCTGGAAGTGGGTGTTCCGGTTTACAAACTTTTTTAGGAAGCCAAACATCCAATGCAGCTTCCACTGTTGTTTCCGACACAGCTGCACAATTGGAAGCCAGTCGGAAGCCGCGCCTTGGTTTCTGAATGCTTCAGAAGTCAAATAGACTTTCAGAACACATTCTGTTCGAAAACCAAGGTATGATTGTAGTGCATAATGTCTTTTAGAAATAACTATTTAGAGCATTTTCAGCCAAAAAGGTTCCCAGAGTGGCTTACATACAATCAATAAAAACAAGACAGTGCCTTGTTCAGAATCCATTTTTGGGGGGGGGGGCAGCACACTACAGTGGCCAGCTTTGGAGACCCTGGGTATTTTCCTTCCCACTTTGCTGCAACTTTTCCTGTTTCGCTTTGAGTTAAATTGCTTCATGCTTCTGTAAAATGAGATGAAATCCTAGTAACATCCAATGCAGTGGAAGAAGTTGGAACAAGAGTCCAACCATACCACATACTTAATAAAACTACCTCCTGTAGTTCTAGTGTTTATAGATACACATTCAAATCATTAGCCAAACCTCGATTTTTTCCCCAGGCAGGGGTGGAGAGTGGGCTTCTAACAGTTGTAACTTTATCCCCTTTTTTGCTGTAAGAGAATTATTAGATTATCATGCATATGTATCAATACATGTGACTTCCTCATTGATCAATAATTATGTATTTGTTCTCTGTATTTATTTTTCTGTATTAGGTACTGATAACAAGTGAAACTTGGCAATAGTAGGCTTGTCTACAACCCTGCTAATAAAATGGTGCATCAACTCACATTATTTTTTTCTTCTTCCCCTAACCTCTCTCTGTTCATCAGTGCTAAAGTTCAGGATAAGATTCAACTGATCAAAAACCTGCTGGATCAAGTCAATGAGATGATTATCGGTGGTGGAATGGCTTTTACCTTCCTTAAAGTGCTCAAAAACATGAAGGTATGCAACCTGCAGTGTCTGCTATATATAATTTGGGTGATAAAGATGCTTATTATGTTTCCTTGACTGTTTCTTTATAACCTTTCCCCAAGCTGGTGTCTTCCATGTGTTGTGGACTGCAACTCTCATCCGCCCCAGCATCATATGGCTGTGATGGCTGAGGCTGATGGGAATTGTAGTTTGAAACTTCCAGAGAACACAAGCTTGGGGAAGACTGTTCCATATGTGCAATCTTAATTGACAATAGTTTTTGAACTGCATTCTATGGCTTAAAATTTGCTAAACAGATCTGGATGCAAATTCATGAGCAAAATACTGTATTTTTTGCTCTATAACACTCACTTTTTCCCTCCTAAAAAGTAAGGGGAAATGTGTGTGCGTCTTATGGAGCGAATGCAGGCTGCGCAGCTATACCAGAAGCCAGAACAGCAAGAGGGATTGCTGCTTTCACTGTGCAGTGATCCCTCTTGCTGTTCTGGCTTCTGAGATTCAGAATATTTTTTTTCTTGTTTTCCTTCTCCAAAAACTATGTGCGTCTTGTGGTCTGGTGCATCTTATAGAGCGAAAAATACGGTAAATCATGTATAACAGGACATTGGATTTGGGGGCAGGCTAGGCTGCTGGTAAAATCTCTGGCTGTTGGCTGTAACTTAAACGCTCAGAGGACAAGCTGAAAATGTTTTTCCTGCAGCTTCATGTAGTTTATCTGGTGTTTTCTTATTTATATATATTTAACATAATAAAGTTATGGGATGCGGGTGGTGCTGTGGGTTAAACCACAGAGCCTAGGAATTGCCAATCAGAAGGTCGGCAGTTCGAATCCCCGCCACGGGGTGAGCTCCCATTGCTCAGTTCCTGCTCCTGCCAACCTAGCAGTTCTAAAGCACGTCAAAAGTGCAAGTAGATAAATAGGTACCGCTCCGGCAGGAAGGTAAACGGCGTGTCCGTGCACTGCTCTGGTTTGCCAGAAGCGGCTTAGTCATGCTGGCCACATGACCCAGAAGCTGTACGCAGGCTCCCTCGGCCAATAAAGCGAGATGGGCGCCACAACCCCAGAGTCGGCCACGACTGGACCTAATGGTCAGCAGTCCCTTTACCTTTACCTAACATAATAAAGTATACCAACAAATGCCAGATAGAAGTAGAAAGAGATTTCTAGAACTAAACATAATTTGGATTTATTTGATTTATTTAATTTATTACGTTAAGACTTTGTAGTGAAAAAAAGATTTTCATTACAAAGTCTTTAACACAATAAATTAATATCACAAGGTTCCAAGTAACACAAAAGGATTTACATTATCCTGTTCTTTATTATTCTAGTACATTATAAAAAGACTTCATTTCTCTATGAAGACATTTGTTTGTTACCTGCCTTCTTTGGTTTTCACTATGTAAGCTTAACCATGCTTACTTACTATGTGCCTTCAGTTATACTTCAGGCACCAGGCAAAAACATTCCTCTTCACCCAGACCTTTGGCTGATTGACATCTAATGCTCTTTTAAATGTGTTATGGTAGGGGGGATTTTTGGTTTTTTCTTATATTTTAAAAGTATTTTGTGGGTTTCATGTTGTAGCTTTATGTTGTGAACTGCCCTGAGATTTACAGGTGTCAGTATACAAATTTAATAAATAATAATAGTACTAGGTCCTAGGTTTTAGTTATCAATTTCCTCAGGGTTGATTTTCTTGATATCTTTCCCCCCGCCCCGCCCCCTTCTGACAAATAATAATCCTGGCAGCAGTTAAGAGGTTGCATTAATTCTCTGTCCTCTGCTAGTTACAGTTTCTTTAACATACCCATATTATCTGTTGATGTTACTTGGATTTAATAATAAAAAATACCTTGCTTTCGAGATTCTGATTTGCTTTGTGGCAGTCTACACAAACATCTGTAGATAGCTACATAGTGCATTGTCTTCTGCTTCCAGATTGGCAACTCTCTGTATGATGAAGAAGGATCAAAAATAGTCAAGGACCTGATGGCTAAAGCAGAGAAGAATGGTGTACGCATCACTTTGCCTGTTGACTTTGTCACTGCAGATAAATTTGATGAGAATGCTAACACTGGAGAAGCCACTGTGGCCTCTGGGATACCTGATGGATGGATGGTAGGTTTAACTCTTGATTTCCTGCAGATGTTTTGGATTGCAGCTCCCATCATCTCCAGATAGCATAGGGTTGATGGGAGTTGCAGTCAAAAGCATCAAAGGGACCCACATGGAGAATTCTGGTTTAAAGACTGGGGAGAGGTTGCGGGGGTGGGTTGAGGAGCTCTTCTACTTGTTTGATCTTTCTGGTGCAATGGCTGAACAGCTACCACCCTCCCCTTTTTGATCCTAGGGTTTGGATTGTGGTCCTGAAAGTGTTAAGCTGTTTGTGGAAGCAGTGGGCAGGGCCAAGCTGATTGTATGGAACGGTCCAGTTGGTGTCTTTGAGTGGGACAAGTTTTCTAAAGGAACTAAAGCTGTGATGGATAAAGTTGTGGAAGTTACATCCAAAGGCACCATCACCATCATTGGTAAGAGCCACCATTCGTTGTCTTCTCCAGTTCAAATGAATAGTTTTTCAGTCTTTTGGAATACTTGATTTATTTATTTTCTCTTCATAAGAAGGGTGTAAGAAGTTGCCTTATACATGGTCAGACTCTGGGACCGAGCTTTTAAGCCAGTGGTTCCCAAACATTTTGGGGCCACTGCCCCCTTGGTTTCACAAACTCATCCCCAGTACCCCCTGTCCTACCCTAACTGATTAAACATTATTCAGAAAAGCAGATTCTACAACCCAATAACAAAGATAGTAACAATGGAATTCAAAATAGTAACAATTAATTGCGCATTTATTCAGAATCCAACTAAAACTATTTAACTGATGAACTCGCTCCAGTGATACCAGCCTTTCAAAGTCTCATAGTCATTTTAATCTCCAGTGACCCCCTTGCCTCTTAGCACACACCCCAGCAATCCCTTTAGTGCAGTGGTTTTCAGCCAGTGTGCCCCTGGGGTGCCTTGAATGATAGTCAGGGGTGCTGCAGGCAACTCTGGCCTCTGTCCCTCTTTCCTTCCCTCTGATGCCCTCTTGCTTTTATGCCTCCCAAAGGCTTGCACACCTGTTTATTGCAGCAGCCCTGCCCATAAGTTCCACAGGTGAACTTGGCATTTTTGGCAGGCGCCAAAAAGAGTGTGGCAATGGCTCCTGCCTGATGTCTATAGGCAGGGAGTTCCAAAGTATAGGTCCTGCCACACTAAAATACCAGTTTCTTACAAATGCAAAAAGTATTATGTGGCACCTATCACCATGCCAGTGTATGGGGTAAGGCGGCCTCGCAGTTAAGCTTCCAAATTATGCTTCCAAAACCATTTTCAGGTTCCTTGACTGTGTTTTCTTGAACAGGTGGTGGAGACACTGCTACATGCTGTGCCAAATGGAACACCGAGGATAAAGTTAGTCATGTTAGCACTGGAGGTGGTGCCAGCTTGGAACTCCTAGAAGGTAGTGTGTATTTTCCTCCCTCTTCCTTAAAGATGTCCAGGGGATTAATTTTGTTTGTATGCTTTTTTGTACCTAGGTCATGCTTACAGCTACCCACACACGTGATTACTCTTCAAAGACCAGGGCCAGGTGGCTAAAGAAAATCAATGTCATGTTATACTACTGTTTGTTTCTTTAGAATTGTAAAGTTGGAAGGGACCTCAAGAGTCATCTAATCCAGTCCCCTGCAATGCAGGAATCTCAGCTAAAGCATCCATGACAGATGGCCACCCAACCTCCCCTTTCAGCCCAAAGGCTCTCAAGAATAAACAGATGCATACAAATACAATAATATAAAATAATGCAAATACAATACAAATGCATATACAATACAATAAAAATAAATCTTAATATTTCAAAAGTATTGATACATCCATTTTCCTGACAAAAAGGCAGCAGATTATTCCCAGTGAAAGACTTGAAAGCAAGAGAGAGAGCAGGATGAGCAGCTCCTCCTAAGGTTCTTGAGCAGGGACGTGGGGCAAGACAAGTAGAGTAGCTGGTGCCTGTGATGGTTCCAGTAGACCCCACATAGGGACCATTTTCAAGACAGCTGCAGTTTTGCATAATGATGGTGACCAGAAAATGGTCTACATCTCTCAAGCACTCGGACTGAGGCCTCCATAAAACCCAGACCCAGGACATACTTTCTGGCCACATGCCTTGACTAAACAAAGGGGTGAAACTAATGTTTACTATGTGCCGCCGCCGCCCCCCCCCCCCCCGCCGCTGCCAAAAAAAGGCTTATGCACTTAACCAAATTCATTGCCTACTCTTTCACCAGGCTCGCAATTCCAGGACTAAAGAGTTGGCCTCATATTTGCAGCTCTTTAAAAGAGCTGTCTATAATAGAAACAGTTTAGAAAATTGCTTTATATTGAGTCAGACCCTTGATCCATCTTAGCAATGTTTACACTCACTGGCAGTGGCTCCCCAAGATCCCAGCCCCACCTGGAGATGCCACTGGGGGATCAAACATGGGGCCTTTTCCATGCAAAGCAGATGGTTCACCACTGAGCTGGATTACTGTCCCGTGTCGATTTACTCAGTGTTCAATCAGCATTGTCAATGGAAGTTTTTTGTGGGTGCTGTTGTTTCATGAATGACTCTTGGGAGCTTCCTCTGGTAATTAGCTGTTTCTTAATACATGTACATTTTCCAAACCCTAGTGCCTTCCCCCTAAAAAAGAAAGAGGCGGCACTGGGCTCGTCAGCTGTTGTTACCAAAAGTTATGTTCTGAAAGGGCTTTGTTTCTGTTGCCTAGGAAGTAGTGGAGAAAGGAAAAAATGCAGACCAATAAAAGGAGACCTGCAATGGTATACACACCAAAGGAAGACATTTTGGGAAATGTAGGCTTTGCTAAGTGGCACTAAACTTCAGAGTTTTAAATTGCACCACACTCCTTTTCCTTAACTGTAGAAGAATTGTTAGGCAGCTTCAGACTGAGGAGAAAGGAATTGGATAAAAAGTCACAGATTGCAGAATTTGTTTAAAAAATAATTTTGTATTGGAGTACATCAAGCAATACAATAAAAATAATGGGTTTTACAAATACAAAAAAGCAGTGCAGTATATCTGGAGGAGACTTAGGTAAATAGAGTACTTAAGGCCATTTGGAAAGCCAAATTTCACAATGTACCATGGAGAGGGAGTTGTGTGTGTCTGTATTCATTGTAAATAAGATAAAAATGAGTCTAACCTACCTCACAGGGTGGTTGTGAGGATAAAATGGAGAGGGAGGAGAACCATGGAGGACAGAGGGGATAGAAAGGCAATAAATGATAGCAGTGACCTGAGTTTGTCAAAAGGCCTTGCTCAAAATCTCACTAAGTGGCTTTTAGACCGTCTACTGCTGCCTCATTCTTACCCCCAGCCTGCCCCAGAATGTTAATAGGCCTCTTTAAAAGCTTACTCAGAGGGTGCTCATGGAGAGCTTTCAGCACTTGAGGCAATTTTAATACTTTATTATCTGTCCACCTTCAGGACTGTGACTGTGCTTTCTATACAGATCAGCATTTAAAGTTTTTCACAATCCTGACTAAATACCCCAGCAGCAAACTTAATGATATTAACTAAGTTGCACAGTGCAAGATGTGTATCAGAAATTCAGAGAAAAAATAAAATAATCTTAGGGTTTTAAGATGCAGCCCCAAGCATATTTATCTGGGAATACGTTTAATTGAATTAAAAGAGGCTTACCTCTGAGAAGTCTGGCACTGGATTACTCCGCTGTTCTGAAAAGAACTGTTTCTGGTTCTATGTGAAAGCACCTGTCAATTAAGCTTTTAAACCTATTTTAGTAGAAAGATGAAAGTGTTGGCAGAATTATGGCACGATCCTAACCACATCTACTCAGAAGTAACTAGGAACTATGTGGGGATTAGGATTGCAGCTTTAGACTGCTGATGGGTTTCAGGCTTTGTAGATGTAACATCTCTGTTAACCTTTATTGGGTACCAATTAATTTCTGGGCAGAATTCAATGTGTGGGTATTTTTCCTTTTCATTAAAAAACACACCCTATGTGTTCTGGGTCTTTTGTTCAGCTCAAGAGCTGCATTCTCCTGTTCAGCCTTCCAAGGGCCACATGGAAATCATGGTCAGCACCTGAGGCAAAACTGGGTAGAGATATTCATAGAAATTTTGCTTCCGTGCCTTAGGCTAGTTGCTCTACACACACACACACACACACACACACACACACACACACACACACACACACTGCAAGTCTCCAATCTGAAGGAAAGGTGGGGTACAGAGACTCTAAAATAAATTATTAAAAATAAACTATATTTTATGCCATAAAATTTAAATATCGCTTGACTATAAAAAAAGTCAAAAATCTGAAGGCTGTTTACAAAAACATAAAAACAATTATCAACAATTTTTTTTCCATTTAAAACCTTCCACATTAAAATAACAATAGACTGAAGACAGGTTAAAATACACATCAACTTTCTGAGCATCTGGACAGGCTTGTCTAAACAAGAATGTTTTTAGCAGATGCCAAAAAAAAGGACAGCAAAGACACCTGCCTAATATAAGGCAGTCATGAAAGTGTCAGCCAAAGCCAGTTTCCATGTACCATCCTTTATAGATTCTTTATAAATGTGTTAAAAGATGTTCCATGATGCATCATCTTTATATGTGTTTGTCTCTCTTACGCTGTGCAGGTAAAGTTCTTCCTGGTGTGGCTGCTCTGAGCAACGTGTAGCAATAGATGAGAGCGTGGGATGAATAAGAGCTCCCCCCTGACATGTTCCTGTGCACAGCCCTTAAAGCAACCACTGCAGCGCTTCTGTATTCGTACTGGCAGCAGAGTCAGATAAAGTAACCTGGGAGATTTACAGCAGCGTTAAAATGGCTCTTGTCTGCAGTTTACCTGATGTTGACTGTTGCCCCACCTGAATTTAGTGTTAAATGGTTTTTGTGATATTTAGAGTGGATATATTTATATATTTTTGCCTTCTTACCAAGGCCAAGTTCCCCTACTAGTTGTCAGTACCTCAAAGCAAGTTTCTTTATTCAATCTCAACAGCTTGTTTAGCTACTGCTACTTCTCACCTTTGCACAGTACCACAAGGTGGAGGGAAAATACAGATGTCAACTGCAATGTTAGCTTCTAAATAAATGTTTTGAGATGCAAACAGAGTTGAAAGTGTGTTTCTTCTCCCCCCGCCCCCAACCCCTGGGCTATCATGCACATTATCTTCACACTGTTTTGTGCATCTGGTTATTCTTGTATATTTCTATAGTCTTGCTTATATTTCTTACCCTTTGGAGGACATGGTGGGGACGTATGTTAACAACAGGCAAATTATCTAGCACTTGTTTATTTAAGCCTGGCAGATAGATAAAAGACAACCAAAAAAGATGATCTTATTAGTACTGGGAAATTGCAGGTTGGACCCGTTTCTAGGACAGCTTGTGCCCTCCAGATATTTGAACTGCAGAAATCCTGCTGCCACATATTTGCTGGATGCAGGTGCTGGCAGCTGGCTTTGGCTGAGGGAAGTTGCAACCTTAAAACATCAGGAGAGCATCAGGTTGGGTGCAACTATTTGAAAAGGCCTCTTACGTCTGCTGTTTGGAGTCTGAATGAATTACATAGGTACAGTTTTCTGTTTTAGACTGGGATGAACTAGAAGAAATATATTTTTATTAGTTTTTCAATTGTATAGAGAGCAAACCAGAACATAAAGTCTACATAAAGAATTCCCCTCCTCCAAAGCAGAACGGGAGAGCAGGAGCATTAGCACTGTATATAAGATAATCATATATCAATGAGAGGCAAAAATAAATACCAATGCAATAATAAAAGCTGGACCTTGATAGAAGACCTGAAGTCAAGTTATCCTGGTGGTTTCCAACAGGTGGTGTGAAAAAATGTGGACTGGATGAGCTTAACTTTTAGGTGAATTTGTAGCTGGTTAACTGGCCAAACCCAAAGATTGCTCACTAATGGTTCCTCCTCATCCTGGAAAAAAAGGACAAGTGGGATGCTGCAGGGTTCTGTCCTGGGCCTGTTCAGCATTTTTATAAACAACTTAGATTGCAGGTAATGAAGCGATGCTCATACAATTTGCAGATGGCACCAAACTGGAAGGGGTAGCAAATGCCACTGAAGACAGAATCTGGATTCAATATGACCTTAACAGGTTTGAGAGCTGGACGCAAACTAACACAATTTCAGTAGGGACAAATGTAAGGTGCTTCACTTAGGCAGGAAGAACCAACTGCAGAAATATAAGATGGGGAACACATTGTTTACCAGTAGTACATGTGAAAAGGATTTAGGGGTCTTACTAGACCACAAGTTGAACATGAATGGGATGCAGCAGCAAAAAAAGCTAATGCTACCATCAACAGTGTCCCAATCAAGGGAAGTAAATAGATCTACAGTGGTACCTCGGGATACATACGCTACAGGTTACAGACTCCGCTAACACAGAAATAGTACCTTGGGTTAAGAACTTTGCTTCAGGATGAGAACAGAAATCGTGCAGCAGCGGCAGCAGGAGGCCCCATTAGCTAAAAGTGGTGCTTCAGTTTAAGAACACCTCCAGAACGAATTAAGTACTTCACCCGAGGTACCAGTGTATTCTACCTTGGTTAGACCACACCGAGAGTACTGTGTGAAGGTCAGGGTATGACCATTTAAGAAATAAATATTTAAGTCTGGTGTTTAAGAAGGATATTGACAAGATGGAACATGTGCAGAGGAGACGTTCAGGAAAGCAAGCCTTATGAGGAATGGTTGAGGGCGCTGGGTATGTTTAGCCTGGAGAAGAAACTGAGAGAAGAGATGATAACCACATTCAGATATCTCAAGGGCTGGCTGCTACATGGAAGAGGGAATAAGGTTGTTTGCTCTGGAGGGTAGGACCCAAACCAATGGATTCAAATTACAAGAAAGGAGATTTTAACCAAACATTGGGAAGAACTTTCTGACGATAAGTGCTGTTTGATAGTGTCTTAAGCCAAGGTTGGACAGCCATCTGTCATGGATGCTTTTGTTGAGAGATCTGCATTTCATCCCTTGAAGTCCCTTTCAACTCTACAATTCTATGATTAAAATAAAGTCCCAGCATATCACAGTAAAAGATTCTGGCCCCACAGCAAACCTAAAAGGTAAAGGTACCCCTGACCGTTAGGTCCAGTCGCAGACAACTCGGGTTGTGGCACTCATCTGACTCATCTCTGGTGGGAAGGGAGCCGGCATTTGTCTGCAGACAGCTTCCGGTTCATGTGGCCAGCATGACTAAGCCACTTCTGGTGAACCAGAGCAGCGCACGGAAACGCCGTTTAGCGCCTGCCAGAGCGGTACCTATTTATCTCCTTGCACTTTGGCGTGCTTTTGAACTGCTAGGTGGGCAGGAGCCGGGACCGAACAATGGGAGCTCACCTAGTCGTGGGGATTCAAACCGCCGACTTTCTGATCGGCAAGCCCAAGAGTGGTTTAGACCACAGCGCCACCCGCTCTTAATCTCTTAATCCTAATCTTTTAAGATTGCCTTGAGGTTACCCAAAATTTTAGAGTAAAGATCTCAGATAAGTAGGTGGTGTTTTGCACAGTTTAGAATTATTCAGAATTAATAGTTTTCCTAATACTTAATTTAATATTAGTTTTACTTGTATGAGTTTTATTGTTTTGGATTTGATCATTGAACCAGACTTGCACAGCCTCTGCAATAATGCCCCCCTTTTAAATTTAGTACAGTATAGTATGTATTGTAAATCTTTCAAAGTGCTCCTAAGTGAGCATGTGACATTTTTTAAACTCTCTGTAACAATTATAAGTAGTGGACTGCAATGTTTAATGCTTATTCAGAGACAAATTATTTAATTTCTTGTTTATGGTGGGAAACAAATTGCTTCTATTCCTTCCTTCCCCGAATTCCCTAAATTTAAATTTATCTGAAATACCATACATGTATTCCTGAATTTGCTTCAAGTCTGAGGGTGTAATTCTCCATGTATTATATTGCATTAGCTTTCCTGATTATAATCTTCTGTCCAGGTGCTCCATGATTCACCCAGAAAATGGCAGGAAAGGACTATATACCTATATTCTGCCTCAAATTTTATCACTTTACTCCTATTTTCTGGGTTAGGGTTGCAAATAGATTGTTTCTGGAACCAATTAACACAGAAATGAGTGCCAAGTTTTCACTATATTCCACTAGATCTCCAGAAGTGCCTTTTATGACACATGAAAGTTCAAATATAATACAGTTAGGGAAACTGAATAAACTGCCATACTAATGTAGCATGAGTTGGAGGATAAAGAAGAACATGCTATTCACTACTTCAGAGAAAGGCTAAAACATGAAGAGTGCTGATATAACAAGGTTTTGGGGGGAAGCAAAAAAGAGGAGACGATAATCCCTTGGGGATACAGGATAAATTCTACACTTTACCAATAACAGGATATAGCTACTGAGAAGTTTGAAGATATTTTCCTGTTACGGGAAATCCAATTATACTCTTTCGGAGGGGGGGGTAATCTTTGCAGGAGCAGCATAGCTGATTTTTAGTCCGAAGCATGAGCTTTGGACTTAAATGCAAATACATGGCTGAAGTTCAAATAATTGGTCTAGCAGTGGAGGTGGCAGTTGGAGAGAAGGCAGAGGAGAGCAAACATTTGGAGTACATTTAATAAGTAACCGAAGATAAAAGGGTTAAAGCAAAGAATGTTGCACCTTAAAGGCAAACATTACAGAAGCTTTTTGAAAGTTTAAGCCATTGTAAATGTTTTGGTCTATAAGCTGCCTCAAGTCTTTGTGGCAGCAGAAACAATATATGATGCTACTCTTACGATGTATAAAGGCTAAGCTTTGAGAACATGAAGTTGTTTGAACAGAACAGAGGAACCTCCCTGTGCCAAATAAGCACATGGGTCCACCAAGCTCAGAATTGTCAACACAGACTACTAGCAGATACCCCCTCTCCAACATTTCACACAGGGTATTTATTCCTCTGCTTTGCTTGGGGAAGCTGGAGATTGTTTTGAAGCCAGGCCTTTCTCTGCGCAAAGCCACAGGTTCTACTTTTAGAGCTGATTTGTTAACTGTTTGCATTTCCATCCCACCTTCTTTTCTCCAAGGAACTCAGTGTGGCATACAGGCAGACCCCCGTTTATGCATCATGTTCAATATGTGTGTGACCATGTATACGCACATCGCACCGAACCCAAAAGGGACCTTGAAACATCACTAAAGGGGCGGAATTGGGTGTTTGCAGGCTTTTCCAATCGGTTTCAATTACATGCGATTTCACTGATGTGCATGGTGCCTCAGAACATAACCCCCACATAAATGGGGGGGAGCTGTACATAGTTCTTTCTCCCTCCTCATTTAATTCCCACAACAACCCTGTTGAGGTAGGTTAAGCTGAGGGTGAGTGCCTGGCCCAAGGTCACCCAGTGGGCTTCCTGGCTGATGGTCGGGATCTGAACCCATCTCCCAGGTCCTAGTCTGACACTCACTACTATACTGGCTCTCAAGACCGAAAGGGGAGACAGATGCACCGTTCAGCATGAGAGCTTGCATTGCAGCCAAATTCAGGTTTTGAGTTTTGAAATGCACTTTAGGCATCAATAACTGCTGAGAGAGTGAAAGAGCATAACTGCCCTTATAATTTCATCTCCTTTCACCAAACTTTCCATAAATGTTGCAGAAAAGCTGGTGTAGCCAACAGGAGCTGCTGCGCAATCGATTTCTGCCCTTGCAGCCACCACTTTCTAGGCTATGAAGTGTGAGATGGTGGTAAGAAACTATGTCTGCCGGGAGAGCATACATGTCCGGGCTGCAAAACAAGAAAAACCCTTAACCACCTACAGTTATCGCAATTCACAGGTGCAAACTCAAAAGGGTACGTTTGGGCTGGTTACCTCATACTGGCATCTCCCACTGGGACCTTGTGCATACAAACAGATGATCTGCCACTGGGATAAGACCCTTCCCAACTATGTTTGAATCTTCAGCTCTTTAGTTTTGTTTTTTTTTAAAATAATTTTTATTAAAGTTTTAAACAACAAAGAAACAACACACACAAAAAGCAATACAAAACTCAACAATAAAAAACAAAAAACGTAACAATTAAAAACAAACTCTCTTTTCCATTTCCATTTTTAGATTACTTATTTTCTG